GCGCAAATACTTCTAACAGGGTTTTGGAAGGCCAGTGCCAAAGCAGGAGCTAGTAGTGGTGTAACCGGGCTGGGTAAGCTTTCGTCAACGCTCATGAAACGCCAGGATTTTTGGTGCCGTGAATCAGCAGGGGCGTGCCACGTACGTGGCAAGCCCACATGAGACCAAACTGTGTGTACTTAGACTTCCTCAGAAGAGACAGAGGATGGGGCCCTGCTTCTCATTATTTTTGCTTGCTTATGGCTTTAACCCGGGTCCTGATCAGGTCACTAGGTTCGAAAACCTCGATATTTGATTGGCTTTTTTATTTGCCAATTGCCTGCTACTAGTGGTAGCTGAAAGGAAAGTCGTACAGCAGGTCATCCGTAGTCGAACCATCTTATGAGATGACACTGGCAGATTTAAGATCAATGAATGCTTATACGTGGCGTTCGGTTGGATAGCCCTGGGAGCAGAGCGTCGTTTTGTAGAGCCCATCGATAAGTCGACCCCTGGCACTTGGATGCGCAAACTGCACCGAAAGTGCTGCCGAAAACATATGTCAAGGTTACCTCCGACTACAGATCTGCAACATCATTTGCGCGGTACGCCATCAAATACGACTTTTGCACTTTCTTGCGAACGAGAAACTCACATGACGCTCAAATGGGAACGGCGATTTGTGAGTCTATTGCCGTCATGGTAGTAGACCTATGAAAACGTGCCGGACTCTGCGCTGAAGTTCGCGGCTGCGACGGATTGCAAGTTCTTCATGACCTGCCGGCCAGAGTGATCCAGCATGAAGGTGTGGACACCCTTCCCGATGCAATGATGTACACAGTTCCCAGCTCACAGGCCCCTTTCTTCCTGTAAAGCCAATCCAAGAAGAGCATATTCAAAGCCCATAAGCAGGTGGCATTCAAAGAGACGGCCTTTGGTCAACTGCGTTCTTGAAACCAGGTTGGAGTGCCTTCGTGTCGTTATAAATCCCTCCTATCTTTGGGACTAAGCATCACGTACGAAATTGAAGGCCCTCACGTCGTCGTCACTTTAATCTCCAAACACAAAATGACCCGGAGCACAATCTCGTTGCTGACGTTCCGGAGTAACAATTCCGAATTCTCTCGAGAGTCTCTGGAAGATCGGAACAGCGACGTGGCACTCAACTGCGTCTTTTGCACGCAAGCTCACCGTTACAACCCATTCAAGGAAAATCCACAACGGTGACACCAATTCCATTTTCCAGTCACCGTATCGCCCTCCTTTCCAGCTTCTTCAGAACCGGAATCAAGACGTTCAAGCGTCGCGTCGCAATTTCCGCCAAGCCGTATCTCCCATTGAACACAAGCCTCAAACGGCGGTTGATTGACGGAAGCCTCCGACTGTGTTTGATTCGGCGCTGCTCTGCACTTACAATTGCGATGAGTATTTTCAAGCGCCGCGTGCAGGCAGAATTGCACGTTTTCTTCGCAGACCCGATGCGTTCCAGGTTTGGTGTGGGGCCAGCAAATGTTAGCGACGGCTTCAAAGCTGAGTGCGCGGGCAGAGTAATGTCGCACCGTTCTCCTGCGCAGGTGCACCCACTTCAGGGATCCCCCTTCAAATAATATGTAGGACTCCAATTCCAGATCCACATCCGCCCAAGGAACTCTCTGAACTAACTCGACGGGCAGGCTCCTGGTTGGAACAACTTGACGGAGGTGGTGCATTCTCTTGTAGAAGTAAGTGTCGAAACCCCAACGGCAGGATTGTTGAACATCTCCGTATAAACAGAGCCTCCCCTGGTTCGATCTCACGAACACCAAAAACTCTACCTTAAGTCGTGACTCTTTTTCGGTAAAAGTCTCCTCATGAGAAGCTACTGTGTTTTTATCAGAGTCTTCACTCAACCTTTCCAACGCCCCTTTAGCCCAGCGGGCTCGCACGAGAGCTTCGTAACCACCAAAGCGCTGCACTACCTCCTGAAATGCTGCTGGTTCAGGGTCCTTAGGAGACTGGGAGGCTCAAGTGGGCTGTAGAAAGCAACTCTCCACAGGGAAGCGTTCAAGGAAGCTACTGAGTGAAAGTTCTTGCACGAAGCGGCGGCAGCGAGCAAATTTGGAGGATCTTGCAAAGCGAGCTTGCTAAATATGTTGAACAAAGCATCGTCGGGTAATTGAACGTCCTCTGTTGCGTCCCTTGCCATCTTCAGATTTTTTGAATCCTGTAGCGAACCCGCAACATTTGCCTCAGAGCTTGGCGCCATTGCCAGCTGTCAAAAAAGGTTCTGGACTTTGGGAGCTTCACAACTGGAAGTGCTCTGTCCTGCGGCTCAGAACCTTGCGGGTTGAATCTCAGGTGAAATGTAATTCCTAATTACCGCGCTGCTTTCTATCTGCACGTGCAAATTTCTAGAGCTCGCAGTTGCTACAAGGTTTCGAAAAGTGTTTGTTCACACTTCGATAGTATCTCCTCAGGTTCGAAGTCCGTTTCGAGATGCAATCTTATGCTGGATCGTCTGTTGGACCCCGGGCAGGCTCTGTAACATATTTGCTCCTCAAAAGGGTAGAGTTTACTGCACAGTCAGCTTGTCACCCGTGGCCTCCTAACGAAAGCACCTTTTGTTGACCCCCATGATACTAGTGTCGGCCTCTAGCAGGATTCCGCGCGGCGTTGCCCTCGCGGCCGGATTGTGTCCGGCCGCGGCAGGGCGCGGCGCGCAGGTTTTAGAGCCGCGCGCGCGGCCCGCGCGTGTGCGGCAGCGCTAGCGAAGCCGCACTCCGACTTCATCAGCTCACTTTGGATGGAACAGATCGACGTTGAACCTACCAGAGTACGAGGGGTTTTGAACAAAAGCAGCTCCTGAAAGCCTCGTTGATACCGTGGGAATCATATTGACGTCCGTGAATGTTTGTGGACGCAAACAGCAAGCAAAGTGGTCACCGGGGCCGGAATAATCAGAAGCTGAACAAGCGGCAGTGCAGAATCCTCAGAATATCCCTCAGTCCCAAGGGCTTCCGAAACAAAGCAGCGACTCAGTGTCTAGACAGCCGGCCACTCAAGCCGTACAACCAAGTAATCAAGAAATCAAGCCGCTTTCAGTCCCGCGATCACCAGATGAAAAGTGTAACGCAGGAGGTCCTTTTGCCCAACGACGCTTTGTTCATTATCTTCAGCAAGCTCGCTTTGCAAGATCCTCGAGCTTTGCTCGCTGCCAGCGCCCGCGTGCAAGAATTTTCACACCGTGGCTTCTTCGCACGCTTCCCTATGGTGGCGATCCGCTTTCTACAGCCTTTCCGAGCCTCCGGAAACTGAGGATCCCAAAGAAGCAGCCTTTCAGGAGGTAGTGAAGCAATTCGGAGGTTACGAGGCGCTCGTCCGAGCTCGCTGGGCCAATGGAATGTCAGCTCTGAACAAGACCGATCTTGCTTGTTTCGAGGAGAGTCTCACGAAGCTTGAACTTGGCTCACAATATGAGATAAAGCTGTTGGTCTTCCTGAGGACGACGCAAGGACGGCTGTGCTTGTATGGAGAGGGTCAAACTTCCTGCCG